GTTGCAGCTTATTTTAAAAGTAGAATTTTAATAAATATTTAAAGGTTTTAATCACCTGATGGTCAATTTACAGCGTTTATCCTGTAGTAATTGTTTGAGCTGCTTCACTCCTGATTGTCCAGGATCATTTCCTGTGAGATCCAGCTCTATCAGGTGTGAAGGGTTTGATCTCAGAGCTGAAGCCAGAGCTTTATATCCTTCTTCAGTGATACTGCAGTCTGAAAGTCAAAAAAAAATAAAATAAAATTGTTATTCTTTTTGTAGACATATATCATCATATCTCTAACGGGATTTATGAACGGCTTCTGACAACCTAAATAGACAAATTATGAACAACTTATTGCCATGAAGTGCAAAAAATGTATGCCAATATAATGTTTTTATTTTAATATTGGCAAAAATCCCAGTAATGAAATCCCATCATTAATAAATGCTGTCCTCATGTACTTTCAAAAAAGAATATGAGCCTCAGTCATACTCTAAATTAGATAGAAGTACAACTAAAATTGTGGCCTTCATTTTTACAGTTAAACTAATTAAATAAACATTAATAAATATATATAAACATACAGAAAAGTACATAAATGAAAATACATACTTCAGTTTCTCAAATTTGCATTGAGGATTTTTCAACAGAAGACAGATTTTCTCCATTCCAAGGCATCCTAATTTATTTCCACTCAGATCCAGCTCGATCAGGTTTGAAGGATTTGAATTAAAAGCTGAAATTAGAGCAGCACAACCTTCTTCTGTAATACTGTTATTCTTCAACCTGGAGAGAAAGCAACAAAGACATGAAACTAATAAAGTAACAGAAGGATACATTTATGTCATAGGTCAATTAATCTCAGTCCTTAAATATTTTATAGAACAACAATAATAGTGTTTCATTAGACTGCAAAAATGTAACATCAACCATTTTTGTAAAGCATTATTAACCATGTGGAATACTCACTGAAGTGTCTTGAGTGTACAGTGTTTATCCTGCAGTAGAGCAGTGATCTGATTCACGCGTGTGTCTCCTAGTTCATGTTCACTCAGATTCAGCTCTCTCAGGAGTAATGAGTTTTTAATGTGAAGAACTTCATTCAGATATTTACAGGCTTCATCTGCAGCAGGACCCAAAAACCTGCAGAAAAGAAGATGAAGCAGTATTCAATTAAATTCCTAAATAAACTTGATCTAATGAAAAAAGCCTATGATTCTGATGTGAAATGGTTTATTTTATATTCGTGAAATAATATTTATATAAATTATTTGCATGCATGTAATTCATTTTGTATTATTTCATCATCTCTCACCTCAGTGTCTTCAGCTGATAGTTTGGATCCTGTAGTAAATCACTGAGCTGCTTCACTCCTGATTGTCCAGGATCATTTCCTGTGAGATCCAGCTCTATCAGGTGTGAAGGGTTTGATCTCAGAGCTGAAGCCAGAGCTTTATAACCTTCTTCAGTGATACTGCAGTCTGAAAGACTAGAGGCAAAAAACAACAGCAAGAAAATAAAGTCTCAAATGTTGTTACTCATTTAGTAAAAACAAGTTTTAATTTTTCAGATTAAGATATTTATAATTCTCAGCTCTCCAAAAATGTGCATTTGTCAATATTTATGAAATGTTTCAAGACAATTACATACTAAATGGTTTACGTACAAAAGTGATATTGCTGACAGAAATATTATGTTCATTTTTAAATTCACCAAAACCTAACCTGAGTATCTGCAGTGTGCACTGAGAGTTTGCCAGTAAAGTTGAGATTTCAGTCACTCCAGAGTTTTCTAGTTTATTTCCACTCAGATCCAGCTCTTTCAGGTTTGAAGGGTTTGAATGAAATGCTGACGCCAGAGCAGCACAACCTTCTGCTGTAATACTGATGCAATTAAAC